CCCCCCCCCCCCAGATGGGGCTCCTGGTTATCACAGCTTGTTCCTTGGGCTCTCAGGCTGCCAAGGGCTTCAACACAGTGGTGGGACCACTGGATCCATGAGAGTAGAGTCCAGTTCATTTCTGCCAGAGGATGGGGGAGGAGGGAAGTAGACAAACCCTCACTTTTGTCCCCAAATGAGGGCCAGCCCTCAGACCCCTAGCAGAAGAGCAGCAGGTGAGCGAGTCCAGCACTCCTGTACTTCCAGATGCCCCCACCTTGGGGTCTTTCCAAACTACAAGGAAGGGGCAGTTCTCCCTGAGGTGAGGCGGGCTGCGAGGCCCTGAAGAGCGCCCGGCTGTCCCAGGTCAGCTCTCCTGGAAACCACGGCTGTGTACACCGTTGCCCTGCCTCAGTGACACAGCACCTGAGTCTCAAACTGTAGCAGCTGCCCCATGAAACTGAAATTGGGGGAGATGACCCCTCGGCGTTGCTTAACGAAGTCAAAGGCCTCATCCAGTCGCACACGGTGGCTCTGTATGAGGTAGGCCAGGCAGATGGTAGCAGAGCGGGAGATGCCCGCCTGGCAGTGCACCAGCACCCGGCCCCCACTGTTCTTCACAGAGTCTGCAAGGGAAATGGGCAGGGGTCAGATGGGAAGTTGGGCAGGGAGGACACCATACCCCAGTCCCTCCCTGGCACCCCTCAATCCTGGAGCAGAGTCCCCCTCCTACCAATGAAGCCTATGGCCTCCTGGAACCAGGCACTGATCTCCACCATCTGGTTGTCCTCCACCGGGATGCTCTTGTAGCGCAGAAGGCCCTCAAAGTGGTTGGGGCAGCTGGCGGAGACGTTGAGGACAGCGGTGATGCCACAGGCCTGCAGCCCCTGCAGATCCGACGAGTGGCTGCAGCTGCCCAGGAACAGGTAGGGCAAGATCTCCACAGGGCCACCCTGGAGGGAGAAGGGAAGGGGTGGTGTGAGGTCTACTCTGCCCAGGAGGAGGTCTACTCTGGAGGTGCCCCGCGCCAGTCCTGACTTGGACCAGGCTCCAGGATATGAGGACGCCAAGGGCCACACAGAGATATAAACTCACAGATACACACATCCCCCTTGAGCCCCCCAAACAGGCTACCGACCCACAGAGGCACACACCCCACCCATGCCAGGCACACACAGGGGGACAGAGGCAAGGAGCCCTGATCTCAACTCACCTGGTCATAGAAGGGAGTCCTGGCATCCGAGCGTTTGTTTTCTGCTCCAGCAGGTGGCATCGCTGGGGCGGGGGTCTCAGAGCACAGATCCGGACAGCAGGCTTGGAAGGCCTCGAAGCCTCCTGCGGAGAGGGCAGGGGGCGCTGTCAGCGGGAGGGCCAGGAGGGGGGC